GGCGGTGGGGAGGCAGAATAGGCCCTTGATGTCAGGGAGGGGTGGGACCTGAGCACTTGGCGCAGAGGGATAGGACAGGCTCCATGGGAGGGAACAGAGCAGAGCTGTGCTCACACTCAGCCTCAGACTTCAGTTTCCTGGTGTGTCAGGTGGTCCTCCCTGCCTTCACCGGGTTGCAAGGTCAGCTCAAAAGACTGAGAGCCTCCAGGGTGGTTGGGAAGGCAGTTGGGGAGGGGAGGTCAGTGAGGCCAGTGGGCGAGTGGGTTGGCTGGAGGTGGGGCAGCAGGGCTCCCAGATTGGCTGGATTCAACAGGGCGGGGCTAACCTTTGAAAGGTGCGAGGGGGAGTGTAAGGGAGTGTGCACTCGCGTGTGCCACCAGCCTGCCGGCTTTACTCTTGCACGGCGACTGTGGTGGCAGCGGCGGTTACTACCCGAGCCCAGACAGAGCAGAGGCCGTGGAGCAGAAGGACATCCCGGCATCCCAATACCAGATGGCGTGGCCCGCGGGTCATGACCAAAGGGGAGGGTGCCGAGAGCGGCTCCACAATGGGGCTGCTGCCTACAGGCATCCTCCAAGTGGGTGAACGCCAGGCCCAGGGAAGGTGAGAACCTGGCATCTGGTGGAGGGCAAGGGGCGGCAGCATCCGCGGAGCATGCGAGGTGTCGGGGGCAGTGGACATGGCCCTGATGGCAGGCTAGGCCTAGGGGACCCTACACGCACACGATTTAATCATGCGCTGGGCCTCTAGTGTTTTTAATAAAATCCAAATTCTTTACTATGGCTTAAAAACTCAACATGATCTGGTCCCTGCATTTCCTACATCATCCCATTATTTCTTCTCATCCCCTCTTACCTACTAAGGTCAACCATAATGACCCTCTATCTGTTCTTAAAACATGTACATATGTCATATTAAGGGTCTTTTCCCTCCCACTTAGAGATTTTCTAACTGGCATGCTGCTTCCTCTCCCCAGCCTGTTCCAACCCACCCCTCCCCCCAGTCTTTACAAGGCTGGCTCTTTTTCCCCCTTTAGAATTCAGCTTAACTGCCATCTTTCAAATAGACCAACCCTGATCATCAACACTAAGGCATCTACTCAGCCACTTTCTGTCATCAATCTACTTCAATCCCCTGCATAGCTCTTGACACAACCTAATGTTGCCCCCTTTTATTTATTTGTTTCTTTGTCTATAGTTTGTCTCCCATCTCCCATGAGAATGATAGTTCTAGAATGATATTTTGTCTGTCCTGTTCACTACTACATCTCCAGCATCTACAATATTGTCTGGCATATAGTATGTGCTCAAGAAATATTGGGGGTGATGAAAGAGTCTGACCTGATCCTTTAGGACTTAATTTTTTCTTTCTCCTTAATTTAATTGGCAAACAAACAAACAAACAAAACCGCTTAGCAGTAATGTAATTTGGTTCCTTCT